GAACTTGAGGTTGGTTGGTGTACAGTGTAAGGAGGTGCTTGCCATCTATGGGAAACAAGTTCTCCCATGCACATTTCATAATACATACACTGATTATTTACATTTATTACTTCAACATATTTTATAGAAATTGGAGGATACATCAAAATATTTTGTTCATATTTATATGACTTACTGAGAAATGGAACAACACAAATACAATTTGTTAACTATTCATCAATAATCTTATTTTTCTTCAACAAACCTTTTCAGGGTATGAGAGTATGTTACTGTTTCTTTCTGTATTTTTGTAACTGAACAATTCACTTAAGAGAATTTGATCTCTGTTCCCTCTCAACATTTGGTGTTTTTTAAAATACTGCCATAAAAGTAATAGATGCCAACTATATGATGTGTTACTTACTGATCTTGATTCTAAGTAGATTTGTGAGGTATTTATATGTTGTATACAAGAGGTAAGTGCAGCTTTTATGTTTATGGCCTCCAGTATCATCTCTCCCCAACTTTTGTGTGACATAAACATTCTTGAATGCTTAGGAAGAACACTAACATTAAAGCAAGTGCATTGGTCCTTGACTTGCATATCCATCCCAATGTGAGGTTTGGTCTCTAATCTTCTCATTGAATCAATAACTGATAGTATTGACTTTACTTCTAAAAAGTGTTGCTGCTAATTTTTGCTGTCAGTTTCTCATATTTTTAACAATACTGTATATCTTTTTCATCATTCTATCAGCCAGTTAAGTCACTTAAACCTGTACATCATATTTGCTTATATTATTATAATTATTTTGTACTTACAAGCATTTTCTTTAGTTTTTATATAATAAATATTTTAATTGCTTTTCAATACAACTGCAATCAAGTTCTTATGAATTATTTACATTCAAGTTTGTGTAGGTCAGGTCATTATATTTCTCTTTTTCTAGTAAGTAGTTGGGTAACTAGTTGTTTAACAAAGAAAGATGATTTTTTTTTGGGGAGGGATGGTAAGTTTTCAGAAAATGTCTAACATATTTTAACGACATAACCCAAAAGTTTGAAAGTGTATTCAGTTTATAATAGTGTGACATCAAATTCTAGCCAAATGTATTACATCCTTTATTATCTTGGAAATTGCTGCTTTCAGGTTGTACAAAGATGAGACCTGTAACTATCAGAAGGCCATCAAAGCTACCATTTTTGAATCTTATGAAGAATAAGAACTAACTCCACAGAGTTGTAGAGTAAATTTGGTGTCAAAAAAAGAATGCTATGTATATAATGAAAATTTCAAATGAATAGGTTATAATGTCAGAATTGTAACCATTCTTGAAAATTGTAAAAGATTTATCATAAAGTGAGGTAACTGGTAATAACCCCAAAATCTCCTGTTTTGGAATCAGATTAATTTATTTGCTCATGGTGCAAGTAAGATGCATAGCTTTCTGTTGAAGTACTGAAACAAACTTCTGCAATAATTTTGTATTATCATTAGCACATTTTTTTCTGATACGGCATATATGTGTGTATTATATGTATGCATATATGTAAATTTTCTTTATGAGATTAAATTGTTTTTTATTTCTGGTAGCCTTATGTTTTTAATTACTTTTACTTTTAATTATTGTTGCTATTTTTTTTTAAGTTTAAGTGTAACTTACAAGGAGGTTTTGTTTAAAAATCCATATGCTTAATCTATTATGACTAAAACCTATAAAATTTCCAGCTTAAAATATACCAATAAAAACTATTTATAATTAATGAAGACATCATGTTATGATATTTAAACATAACATAACAGTATTTTTACTTGAACCAATCCAGTATGTGCATAACTCTGGAATATTATTAAAATGAAGAGTGTGAAAAATTACCTGTTATGTTTTCTGTATATATATATACAGTTATTTTGTACTTTTGTGCCTGTCAGGAAAACTCATGCATTAAAACATTCAACTCCTTTATTAACATTCCTGTTTCTTTGAGATTATATATATATATATATATATATAGGGCATTTCAAATTGAGTTATCACTTCTGTAGTTAAACACTTTTTTTTTCACAAGCATTAACAAAAACTTTAAATGTATATATTGCATGCATTGTAGTTGATTATTTAATCATAAATTATCTTAATACCTTTGGCACTATTAGGCCTTTTCTTTATTAATTGTTATGAACTCATTGGAAGGCTTATGTGACTTTCCTGCCCACAAATTATTTGGGAGCAAAACCTATCCCTAAATATCTAGTATAGATGGCTGACATGGGTATTAAAATATTTTATTTAAAATAACAATGTTTTGGAACAACATGTAACCTATTGGTCCATCTCAGCTGTTTCATCCTCTAAACCAAATTAAAATGTAAAAAATCTTAAAGCCAGCCTTTATCATTCATATACTTATCAAGCTTTTTCTTAAACTCACATAAGTTTACTGCCTCTACAACATAAGAAGACGACTCATTCCAAAGGCCAACCACCCTGTAAGAAAAATGAAACTATCTTAGTTGAAGGTGACTCCTACTTTGCCAAAATTTATATTTGTGTCCCGTAGTTCTACTATTCTCACGGTTAAATATGAAAAAAGATGATGCATCAACACTATCAATTTCATTTACAATCTTAAATACCTCAATCAAATCCCCCCCACCACACACACACTTTTCTTTTTTCAAGAGAAAGTAATTTGAGAAATTTCAGCCTCTCTCTTCATATGACAACCACTCCATTCTAGTAGTCACCATTCTAGTAACTCTTCTCTGAACCATTTCCAACAATTCAATGTCTTTCCTAAGGTAAGGAGCTCAAGACTGAATGCAATATTCCATATGTAGCTTAACCAGTGACCTGTACAATGAAATTATAATCTCCCAAAACTTGTATTCAGTATTTCTGTAGATGCAACCTAAAATCCTACTTGCCTTACCACTAGCAACAACAATCTGCTTAGATGGCTTTAGAGACTGATCAATTATTACACCAAGATCTCTTTCCTTCATAACACCGTTAAAGTTATTCCCATCGAAATTATACTTGTAATTCAAATTATACTAACCCACATGTACTATATTGAATTTATTATAATTAAAACCAAACTGAATAATTGATCTAAATCCTTTTGTAAATCAGCAGCACCATCCTCACAGCTAGCAATACCCTAGACCTTAATATCATCTACAAGTTTAAGTAATTTATTGACTATTCCTTCATTTATGTCATTGATTTAAATCAAAAAGAGCAAAGGTCCTAAGACTGAGCCCTGCAGTACCCCACTTGTGACATTAATCCAGTTTGACTGAACTACATTTGTAACAACCCTCTGCTTTCTTCCATCCAGTCACTCTTCTATCCAATTTGCTTATCCCCTATGCCTATCAAGATAATTGTTTTACAAGCCTTTTATGTGATACCTTGTTTAAATGCTTTGTGAAAATCCAGATACACCAAACCTACACCCTTATCCTCATTTACATAAGCAGTAACCTTTTCAAAGAATGTCAAAATATTCATAAGGCAAGATTTTCCCTTAGTGAAACCATGTTGACTATCCAATAA